GCCTGACTCAGATTCTGCTGAGTCATGCTGCTGGTCTGTTCTGGAGCTGCAGAGTCCAGGTTCTGTTCTGGAGCCGCTGAGTCCAGGTTCTGTTCTGGAGCTGCAGAGTCCAGGTTCTGTTCTGGAGCCGCTGAGTCCAGGTTCTGTTCTGGAGCTGCAGAGTCCAGGTTCTGCTGTCAGGTTGAGATTCAGCTGGATTCTGTTTGTCGTCCTGATCTGAAGATATAAAGTCCATCCCTCCATCATCTGTCTCTTTCATCCACACACGTCCCATTTACTGAATAACTTTGATTCATCTTTATTCTTTTTTTCATCCTCTCCTCCTCTCCTCTCCTCTCCTCTCCTCTCTCCATCCTTCTGGTTTTCCACCAACATCAAACAGTCTGTTTGAAAAACAGGACCGGTCCAGACCCCTGCTGGAGGGAGGGGTCTGGTGCTGGTGGGTCATTGATTGACCTGGAGCTGTTTTTTTTATTTAAAAACCATTTTAGATTTTTTTTCTCACAAATGAACAAAGAATTCATCCTTTTCTGATTGAACTTGAGATTTGAAATTCATTAATCCAGTGAAAGTCTTGACTCCGCCTTCTTTTAGTGGGTTTTACATGTTGTACATGTGGACATATAAACTTTAGAAACTGTCTGGAGGAATTTAAGTTTTGTTTCTGTACAGAAACATCCAGAGAGTTTCCTTGACTTGAAATCTGATGCTGCAGGTTAACGTTCGGCTCTTTGATGGTTTGAAAACRAGCTTCTTCTCTTCTCTCAGCCTGAAAACGAAGGTGTGAGGAGATGATGTGAGGAGCAGATCGATCTGCATCTGAAGCCAAACAGATGAGAGAAAATGAGAAACCAAAGAGGCGAGGGGAGGGCAGGAGTGTTAATGAAGTGAAGAAATGGATTAATTATCATAAAAACAGAGAAACGACGTCACTGTTATTAATGATGATGGTTCAGTCAGAGCCCGATGTCTCCTGGTTGTAAAAACAGGTTTAATAAAATCATTATTTCCCTCAGATCTCTGAAATCTACGTCTGCGGTGAGTCGTCTGACCTGACGGCCAAAGAGAAGCTGCTGCTGTGGAGCCAGCAGGCGGTGGAAGGTTACCCCGGCCTGCGCTGCACCAACTTCACCTCGTCGTGGAGCGATGGGCGCGTCTTCAACGCCCTGCTGCACAGATACAGGTCTGAGACCACACTTTGTCCAGAACATACTCAGAACGCTCCAAACTGACCACATGTTGCTCCTCCAGGCCAGACCTGATCGACATGGAGGCCGTGGCCCGGCAGAGCAACCACGACAACCTGGAGCAGGCCTTCGAGATCGCCGAGTCGTTAGGAGTGACCCGCCTGCTGGACGCTGAGGGTGAGCCGGACCACCTGAGGCTCCGAGGCCTGGATGTTCTGACTTTTAATCAGAGTTCTGCAGTTTTTCATTCCTCCTCTGGTTTCCTCCTCAGACGTTGACGTTCCGTCTCCAGACGAGAAGTCGGTCATCACCTACGTCTCCTCCATCTACGACGCTTTCCCCAAAATCCCAGAAGGAGGAGAGGGCATCGCTGCACACGTACCCGCATTCTTTATTTAYTTATAGTTTCACCCTGTGGGATTTACACTTTTTATAAAACGTCTCGACTTTCTGTCCATCAGGAGGTGGACCAGCGCTGGTCCGAGTACCAGTCCAGGTTCTCGTCTCTGCTGCAGTGGAGCCGGCAGCACACGGCCCTCATGGCCAACAAGAACTTCCCACAGAACCCAGCAGAACTTAAGGTGATTACACACATCTGTGGACGTTTGCTCTTTATTTAGCTTCTGTTTTTGTAAAAACTGATGACATTTTGTAAATATAACAAAAACTAAAATCTGACCTGTGTTAGAGAATAATGTTTATTTATCGTCTAATTTATTATTTTATTTTGTCACATTTTTCTCTGTTTAATCACAACCAAACTGTTTTTCAAAGCCCCAAAAATAAAAACACAAATTAGAACCATTTGATGAAAAAACTCAGATTCAGTTAAAGATCCTGTTGAAGGATCTGGAAATAAAAACAGCCATAAGAATATAGAAAAATACTTTTATTCAGGGATAATTCTGCAGACATTTATCTGCTTTTAAGACCCAAAACCAACAAAAATCTAACATTAAAACTAACAGAACATAAAACCAGTGGCGGAGCTAGGCGTTTCTGCAATAGGGGCCACAAAAAGTAAAATAAATAAATAAATAAAACATTCTGAATTTGAAAATTCAAGATGGCCACCACAGCTAATTCCAAATGGATTTATTTCAGCTGTTTTATTGAGCTGAACTTTTTTGTTAGCAGCTAAGAATGATCCAAAAAAACCTGCTGAATGCTAGTCACAGCTTATTATTTAGGCATTTTTAGATACGCAAAGCTGAAGATTTTAATAGAAGAAGCTAAAAACAATCTTTACTCATTTCTAACAGCTAATCGAACATTCAAGATGTCCGCCACAGCTAACTTTAAATGACTATAGTTCAGCCATTTTAAGACTTATTGACCACCTGCTGATTGTCGATGCTAATCCTAAATTAAGCTAACTGGTAATGCTAATGCTAATTTAACAAAGGGCTATAATTCAGCCTTTTTTAAACACACACAGCTGATGATTGATACAGGACAGTAGTATGAGAACATTCTGTAACAAAAATTAAAAATCCACTTGTCAGTTACTTAGGGGCGGGACCTGAGGCGGCCAATCAGGCGCCAGAGGTGGCACTTGCCACCCCGGCCACACCTCTGGCTCCGCCCCTGACATAAAACTAGTCTACAGAAGAGCTTGAAGCTAAAGAAATATTAAAGTGAGGAAAGTTTCCAATAAACCAGATGTTTCAGGACTGAAGGTCAGACAGGAAGTGATTTTAAAGCCTTTTCTTTGACCTGAGATCCTGGTGTTTTCCTCCTGCAGGCACTTTACAACGAGTACGTTCATTTCAAAGAGACGGAGATTCCCTCCAAGGAGCAGGAGAAGGCTCACGTGGAGCACCTCTACAAGCTGCTGGAGGTGAGCGCGTCACGAGGCGGAGCTCTGGGGGATTCTCTTCTGTACCCTGTCCCTCCGCCGTGCTAAAAATAAACAGCAAACACACGTCAGCTGATGAACCCGCCTGTGTTCTCGCTCAGCTGATCCCAGCAGGAGGTCCGACCCGTGACGACTCCTCCTGGAGGTTGTCGCTGGACGTCCTCCTGAGGCGTGGTGGGATGTTTTAAAGGTGTTGGGTGGTCTCTGTGTGTCCAGGTGTGGATGGAGTTCGGTCGCATTAAGCTCCCTCAGGGCCTCCATCCCAACGACCTGGAGGAGGAGTGGGGCAAGCTCATCCTGGAGATGCTGGAGAGAGAGAAGGCCCTGAGGCCGGCTGTGGAGAGGTGCTAAAGCATCCCATAATATTCTTTTAAACACACACGGCGTGTTTCTCACCGTGTTCTCTGAAACCTGCCTCTCAGGGTCRACCTGCTGCTTCAAAGAGCCAACAGGATCCAGAACGTGGCTTTGGACTGTGAAGAGAAGCTGACCCTGGCTAAGAACACGCTGCAGGCTGTGAGTCGTATTTATCATCTGATCAAAACAAACTTCTCTTTCTGACTTTCACTTCAATAAAAACACACAAAAATAGCTAAAGGTTAAAACAAATAATTAAATCTGAAAGAATAAAATGAAGAAAGATAATCGTTGCTTATATTTAACTAAAAAAAGAAAACTTTGTTTTATCTTAAGGTCTATAAAATGCTTGAACTTCAGTTTTTTTAGTGCTTTGCGATAAAAGATAAATAAAAACACGGGTCTGGTCCGGTCGTCTGCTCCTCAGGACGTGTCTCGGGCCGAGAGYGGCGAGCCGGTCCAGTGTGAGACAGAACTGGCCCGTTCCCTGCAGGACTGCGAGTCCCTGATCCAACAGCTGCAGCAGGACCTGAAGGTCCTCCGAGACGAGAAGTACTTCCAGGTGGAGCAGCTGGCCTTCAGGTGAGGCTTTAAATCTTAACATTAGAGGCGCGAAAAAAACTCTAAAGAACCTTGATTCTYATTTACTACAATTCAAAATCCATTTAAAATAAATTAATAAACAATTAAAAAATAAACAAATCCACTGAAATCTCCCCTTAAGTCGTGGTGAAATCTCRCATAATTACAAAATTRYGCGAGATTTCACCACGGGGCAGGGTCTGGGACATACTTTTGGTCCTGCAACTTTCTTGTGAAAAGAAAAGTTCTCGTTGTTCAACTTARKGTTGGGCGTAATCACATCATGTGYAAATAATCATCAGAAAAATATTAATCAATTTTTTTTGGCACTTGACGATTAATATGATTAATGCCACTGGTCCGCTCAATGCTCCTCTCTGCTTCAAATATGACGAACTTTTAAAAAAAATTCTGTAATTTATTTAACATAACTCCAGTTTTTCTCGGTCTATCAGCACCAATTAAAATTTGATAAAGCCCGAAGTCTGTAATTTTTACAAAGAGCAAATCCTTCCCACTAAATTGGTCATGTGATGAGGACAAAAGTGTGTCCAGGGACTCCAGGGCATTAATCGCCAAATTAATCGTTATTGGCTAAATACCACATTTARTCATGATTATTTATTTTGCCAATATTGCCCAACCCTAGTTCAACTGTAGCATTTTATTTTTGTTCCAACTTATTTTACAGCTGTGGTCCAGACAGGATTTTTTGAAAAGGCACTTTCCTTAACTTTAAAAGGCAGCATGTTTGATTGCAGATTTTTTAAATAATTATTCACTTTTATGTAATATTGTCTTAATGCAACGGTTGAAAAATTACGTTTAAGCATGGATTAATGTTCAAAACTTATTAAATGTGAAAAGATACTTTGTCTGCATTTGTCATTTTGTCTTACAAAGCAGACTGAAGTAGATCGTACAGATTCTATAGATTTATTTTATAAATTAAATCATTTTGAATTGAAAATAGATTTTAAATCGAATGGTGACAGTAAAAGATTGGTTTACAGTAATTCAGAAAATCTGCTGACTCATCCTGCTCAGTCCGTTTCCCTCCTCCTGAGTTTGAGCTCGGTCATGCTCGCAGCTTTGTGTTTTGACAGGAAACATGTAAATATGTTTGTTAAACGATGCAGCCGTTCTTGCTCTCGTGGTTTTGATCAGACCTTAAGATGGCAGAATGTTCCCCCCRAAAGGACAAGCTGTTCGGTTCCCGTCGCAGAACCAGGTTTCTGTTTGTGGTCCGCAGAGTTTCGTGCCTTCAGGAGGAGCTGGTCTCCCTCCGGCTGCAGTGCTCCAGCGTCTACAGGAAGGGCAGCTTCTCCCAGGCTCTGGGCGGCGGCGGGACGGAGCGCGGCGGCCTCAGAGCCACCGACGCAGGCCTCCCTTTGGGACAGACGCTGCTGGGAGCAGTGGGCGCTGTGGGCGCCGCTCTGCTGAGGCGACCRATGGCTCGCTCCCAGCTGGTGGCCATGTCTTCATCGGAGGACGAAGGAAGCCTGAGGTTCATCTACGAGCTGCTGGGATGGGTGGAGGAGACGCAGGTGAGTCTCGTTTCACACAGGAGACATAAAACATTAAAGATGTGACGTTTCAAACAGGTTACTTCTGTAAGTTTTTACATTTTATATCAAAAATATTTGTTTTTAGAAGATTAAGTGTGTTTTTTTAATTTTTACATCCATATTATTCTGTTAGTACAAGCTTATGTCAGTCTTCTGAATGTTTTCTCAAATAAAAGAAATGTTTTTTTCAACATTTAGTTTTAACGAAACCCCAAAAAATTCAGTTTATTAAGAGAATATGTTTACAAACTCTTCTAACATTAATGCTAATATTGCCTTGACTACTGTTAAAACTACCTATGCTAATGCTAATTTTACTATTGCTAATGCTGCTATGCTAATTTTAATAATGCTGGAGCCACTAATGCTAAATCTGCTTATTCTATAGCTATTATTTTTACTGTTTGTCTATTGATACTTTTAGCCTTTTAGCTTTTGCTACATTTATTTGTAGCTATCGCTCTGTTCCTTTTAGCCTTTTAGCTTTTGCTATGTTTATAGCTATTGCTCTGTTCATTTTGGCTGTTTAGCTTTTGCTATGTTTATTTGTAGCTACCGCTCACTTTGCTGTTATGCTGATGTTGTTTATTTGTGTTTACTTTAGTTTTATTAACGTGTGTGTGTGTGTTTGTGTGTGTTTGTGTGTGTGTGTTAGGACCTGTTGGAGGGGGCTGAGTGGGGCGCAGACCTCCCCTCTGTGGAGAACAACCTGCAGGAGCACAGCAGCATCAACACAGCTGTGGAGGAGCTGATGGGCGGCCTGCAGGAGGCGCGCAGCTACGAGGTGGAGCAGCACCTCCTGCTTCAGATTGATGATCTGTAACCGTTTATTTTCTTACTTTATTTTTTTATTTCTGCTGCAGGCCAAAGTCTCCCCGAACTTTAAGAGCAACTACTGTGAAACTTTGAGGAAGCTGGAGCATCAGTACTTCAAACTGCAGGTGAGTTTCAGCTCAGAGACCCTCCTCATCCTCAGCCTTCAGTCGGAGGACGACGCCGGTGTTTGTTTGTGCTGCAGGAGCACTCGTCGTGGCGCCTGCAGAGCCTGGAGAGCCTGCAGGAGTTCGTGTCSCGCTGCACCGAGGAGCTGATCTGGCTCAACGAGAGGGAGGAGGAGGAGATCTCCTTCGACTGGAGCGACGCCAACGCCAACATGAGCTCCAAGAAGGAGCTGCACGACGTGAGTCCGATCTGAGAAAGGCWAACGGCCAGACAAAAACCCTTTTCTTTACAAAGTCATGAAGGATGATGATGAACTCTGACCTCAGGAGCTGAAGCTGGAGCTCGCTGAGAAACAAAAGGTGATGCGTGCCCTGCAGGAAACAGCCAGCCGCCTCTGTCAGGAAAACCATCCTGCCAAACCAACCGTGGAGGTAAAACTTTAAGATTTAACTCCCTTATCCTGAACTACTATGGAAAGCCCTTTCATTCATTCATTCATTCATTCATTCATTCATTCATTCATTCATTCATAAATAAATAAATAAATGAATGAATGAATGAATGAATGAATAAAGAATGAATAAATATTCCATTAAATAAATAAATGTTCCTGTGAAATAAAACAAAATCAATAAAATTATAATATATTATTAGCATGTCTTCATATTTATTTATTTATTTATTTATTTATTTATTTATTTATTTAATTTTGAACGAAAGGGCTCTCCATAAACTACATCAGGTTTACTCCAAGAAATATTCATGGGAATTTCTGAAATGTGGGTCTGCGTTCAACGTAAACGAATCAAACTACCTGGAACCTCACGATGAACCTGCGTGAGACTGTTTGTTAGTAAACAAACACCAGAGTGAAACATGTAAACAAACACGCCTCGGCTGTTTCTGTCGCTGAATAAACACTTCGACTGCACATTTKCCGCTTATCGACTCACAGTCAGTCCAGTCCAGATCAAACCGGTTCTGGTTTCACCTGGAAACCCATCTGGTGTGAAAGTTCCTGTTAATAACGGTTTGTGTGTTTTTGTGTGTCTGCAGGCCTACAGTGCAGCTCTGCAGACTCAGTGGCAGTGGGTCGATCAGCTGGGTGTTTGTGTTGAGCAGCACCTGAAAGACAACTCGGCGTACTTCCAGGTAACGTTTGGATTCTTCTCACAGCAGCGTTTCCACCACGATAAAACATCCTCATTCAAACCAGTTTAAACCAGTTTAAACCTGGTTTTAACCGGTTTTAACCAGTTTAAACCTGGTTTTAACCGGTTTTAACCAGTTTAAACCTGGTTTTAACCGGTNTTTAACCAGTTTAAACCTGGTTTTAACCGGTTTTAACCAGTTTAAACCTGGTTTTAACCGGTTTTAACCAGTTTAAACCTGGTTTTAACCGGTTTAAACCAGTTTAAACCTGGTTTTAACCGGTTTAAACCAGTTTAAACCTGGTTTTAACCGGTTTAAACCAGTTTAAACCTGGTTTTAACAGGTTTAAACCGGTCTCAGAAGGTTGGACTCAGGACAGAACCAGTGTTCGGATTCCTTTGAGTTTTCTACTCAAACTTTCCAAATCTTTGAAAACCCAACTCTTTCTTATCTTCATCAGCTTAGATAAATGCAGAAATAAATCAAAAAAGTTTGAGTTTTAAAGAAGAAGGTTGGTGGACGTTAGAAGCAAATATCCCAGTCCAGACCTTCTGGTCCCTGTAGAACCAGATCAGGACCTGTGTCTGGGTCCTAGTTTCCTCAGATTACTGAACTCTTTCTGTTTTGTTTTCAGTTCATGAGTGATGCTCGGGACTGTGAGTCGTACCTGCGGCAGCTGCAGGAAACCATCAGGAGGCAGTACACCTGTGATAAAAACAGCCGACTGAGCAAACTGGAAGACCTGCTGCAGGACTCCATGGTACCTGACCCAGAACTCTACTTAAACCTGAGCTCCTCAGATCTTATTTACCTGCCGTCACTGACTGCTTCAGATATAATCAGTGTGAAAGCTCCACAGCGTTCACACTGATTATATTTGAAGACACTTTGTTTAGTCGTACTGTTGTCACACTGTTGAGATCATTTTTTCTTCTGTACGTTTGTTGACCCCTTTCTCGTTCCACAATTTTTATGCTATTTCAACAATTCATATATCAAAACATTCAGCTCATTCAGGATAAGCCAGCTATGACTTTTGGTATTTCTAATATTTATACTTTTTTAGATATTTCACTTTTTTAGCCACTTTTTTGCCATTGAAAATGAATGGAGCTGTTTTCAACATCCTTAAACTCCTTCAAAATGTTTCTAAATCTTTACAGAACCTTTCACATTTTGTTCGGTTATGCTCTTTCACTTTCTTGTGCTAATTTGAGCTACTTTTTTTTTTTTTGCTAATTTTAGCTTTTTTTCTGCCAATTTAGCTAAAATTCTGCTTTTTTCCACTATTCTGC